AGAATAGAAAGAAACTGTCCAGCAGGCTCTTCCTAAGGGATTTTTGGGATGCCAAATGGGGTGGGAAACTGGCTTTTAAGGGTCCTGCTGCTGGGAAATGGAGCATCTTTTCAGGCCCTGCGGACTCTGGCGCAGACTCGATGGAGATACTCAGCAGAGCTCAGCATCCACAGATGGGAAGCGGAGCGATGCCGCTGATGGTGGTTGGAGCCTTCCAAGCTCCAGGGCTTCATGGCAGTCAGTGCTGTCCTGCCAGGTAGGCAGGAGCACCCAAACCAACACCGGCCGCTCAAGTGGCCGCCGTCTTCCTGAGCCCAAAATCTGGGGCTTTTAGAGCTTTTCATCTGTTGAGGCTGAGAGGGGGAGGATGAAACAACGAAGACCTTGTTTCCACCTCTTTTCCCCAAGTAATGACTATTCCCCAGCTTCCTATTTTTGGTGGCATCACCCAGGCCAGAGATAGAGGGACAGAAATAAGTAGGATTTGGAGTAAAGACGCTGAGCAAAGCTGCAGAGGATCTGGGGAAGAGAGAGATGAACATGAAGCCATGATGGGAAGGAGCTCAGGGTGGGCAGTGCAAGGAATCTATGTTCTGGTTTGGAAACAACAGGGTGGAGGGGAGAAAGGGACATGGGGTCTCCTCCCAGCACCACGATGGGTTTCTTTTTCCTGCTGTCCAAAGGTCCAAGGAACAACAGGGACCATCCAACTTTGGGGACATCCCCAGAAACCAGTCCCACCAGCCGGCCTGGGTTCAGCAACCCAGCTACTACCGCAACCTTTGTTTTCGTCCTCTTTTTTTTTTCGGAGACTCTTGCACGAGTCAGATTTTCCAAGCGGCCTTGTCCAATTTGGTCATTAAAACTTCAGTTTATCCCTTTTTTTTCCGGCCAGGCTGGCAGCGGGATCGCAGCCTCACAGGGTTCTTTGATTTCTGGAGCACTCACCTCCTCCCCCCGCACACCCCAAACGCACACCAAGATTTATGAGTCTCCAAAGATGCTTCCTAAAATATTTACAGAGCGGAGCTTCGTGCCGGTGCTTGACTCGGCCACGAGCACTCCACGGCCATCAGGAATCTGGGTGGCATGAGAGGAAATATAAACAGACCTTTTTTTTTCTTTCTTTCTTTTTCTTTTTTTTTTCTTTCCATTCCCCCAAACTGCTATAAACCTTCCCAGTCTCGAGGCTTTTTAGCCTTTATTTTTCCACTCCTTCCTCAGCTGGAAACATGGAGATGAGACTTTTTTTTAATTTTCCTTTTGCAAGCAAACCCAGCGATTTGCACCCATTCTCGCCACAGAGGCCGCAAGACTTTCTGCCTAGCAGATTTAATCTGATTTAATTCAGATTTTTCTTGATGCACCTGGCGTTGGCGGTGTCGGGGGAAGATGCTTTGTCAGGACACGAGGGGCTGAGATACAAAACATGTTGGCCTGGTGCTGATGGGGGCCGTGGCAGGGTATTAAATGGGGATGGTGCATGTTGCATGGGAGGGTAACATATTGCATGGGGATAATGTGTGTGACATGGGGATAACACATGAAAGATGGGGATAATGCGTGTGACACGGGGATAAAACATGTTGTATTAGGACAATCCATTGCATGTGGATAACGGTGCATGGGGGTAACACATGTTAGCCAGGGATCATAGGTGTTAAATGGGAAAAATGTGTGTTATATGGGATAGGGCGCTCTGCATGGGGATAACACATGCTGAAGGGGGTTAATGTGGGTTATATGGGGATAACATATATTGCATAGGGATAGCACACACGTTATATGAGGATAACACACAAGTTAGATGGGGATAACGCGTCTTACATGAGGATAATGCACATTAAATGGGGATAACACCTGTTGCATGGGGATTATACTTGTTAAATGGGGGTAACGTGCATGAAATGGGGCAAATGTGCTTGCAAGGGGGGCAGCCCTTGCCAAAAGGGCTCCTGTGCTAGGTCAGCTATCCAGAGAGCAGAGAGGGGCAATTCCCAACTTCTATCCCTGTGGCCGAGACATATATAACATCCTGGTTTCCTTTAAAGGCACCAGAGCAAGAGACCTAAGGTCACAAGATGCCAGGAATGTCACAAGGCAGCGGCTTCCCCTGCAAAACGGGATTTTCCAGCAGCAAATGAATGAGTTTGGGCCTTTTGCAGCTGTGCATGGAGGGTTTTGGCATAACAGAGCTAATTGGGGAATAGTGATGAGCTCGTGCCACCCTTCGGCCCCTCTCCACCCTGCAACACTCCAAAATTTCCCCAGTCCTGGAGGGATGTAAAATATCCTCCACTTGGACACCCCCAACATGCAGCAAAAGAAGAGAATGGGCTCAAAATCACTATAATCCTCCTTTTATTTTCCACTTTGTCATGAATATGTGACAGCATCATGCCCGAGTTTATGTTTGTTTAAAAAATAATAATAATAATAATAATACGATACTGCATTTCCACGCACCCCCCCAAAAAATACATTTGGAATAACTGGTAAAAGGTAATAAATGTAAACCGCACTTGGCACCATTTGGCTCAATAAATAAAATCAAAACGTAAAAATAAAAACGAAGAAGAAAGGAGAGAGAAAGAATGCACTATGTAGGCGGCACACTATGGGAGCTAAATAAATAACATAAGTTACTTCAAATAAATAGAGAGTATCTAAATTACAGATGCATTGCATCCACTTGTGCAGGCGGCTGGGCAGAGCCGCCCATCCCGGGAGGGACTTGGATCCCTGCAGCCGTGTCTGGCCTTCCCGAAACGAGTCTTTTTTTTTTTTTTTTTTCCCTTTTTTCAGTTTTTTTTCCTTTTTTTTTTTTTTTTTTGAATGTTGGGCTTCGAGTTCAAGGGGACCTCTCGCTAAACCCAGTGCAAAACCAGTTGAAGAAAAAGCCTTTTGCACTGGCCGCTTTTCGGAGCCGTTGGCAGAGCGTGACGTCCGCCGGGGCTTCCCCCTGCGCGGATGCTGCGCCGGGATCCCACCGAGGGCTTTTGCCACAAAACTAATTTTAGTTTTATAGGAGTCCAAACTGGAAGAGACCCAAGCACTTGAGAGCGCAGTAACTATTATTATTATTACTATAAGAATATTTGGGATTTTTGTCTCCCAGACGATATTTTTGCCCCACCGCGCTCCGCACCTGCAGCCCCTTTGGCATTTCCATTTTATTCCCACCCAGATCAGGCTGCCGTCAGCCCCCAAATCCCCCCAGGAGCTGCCGCGGATGCCAGCAGAGGTGATAGGAGCACCCATGACATGCGCCAACTTGGCCCGTTCTCAGCATCCGCTCATGGCATCGAAAGACAAGAAAAAGGAAAATTCCCTGCCCTCTTGCAGGGGTCGGCGCTTCCACCCGCCGAACGGGGCCGGGAACGCGGCACGGAGAGGGTCACGCGGCGCGGCCGTCCCGCCGCGTAGCCGAACGCCCGGGCACTGCCGCCGCTCTGCGCCCTCCGCTCGTGCTTTGCCTTTTCTCCGGGCAAAGGGCCAAGGGGAGAGAAAACCATCAATCACGGGCGACAAATATAACCCGCCTGGAGAAGGCGCGAGCCTGTGGGCTCATTTATTTCCCCCGCAGAGTAAACAGGAGCCAGTGTGGGCGGAGGGGCGGCGAGTGCCGGCGCACGGGAAGGCGACTGGAAGAGCCAGATCCACTGGCACCCTCGAGGATTTTGGATATTCACCCCCTGGCTCGTCCCAGCTCAGTTTTTGGCTGATCCAGTTAAATCAGATGGTCACGAGCCTTAAAAACTAAGGAATTGTTTGGGAACTGACACGGCCAAGCGAGAGGCACCAGCAGGGCCCTGTAGCGTCCGACTTGGTCCCAACACCAGCACTTTCCCTGACAGCAGCTTCAAACGCTGCCGTGGCACCCAAACACCGGGGACTTGGTGCCAAATCTGCCCCGCTCCAGCCTGCCTGTTTGCACCTCTGACGTGTGCAGCGAGTGCAGCGAACGGGGACGGCCCTGCGTGTGGGGCACGGGCGTCCAGGTCGCCCAACGGGCCCAGGAAACGCACTGAGCACGATGCAAAACCCGCTGCCCGCGTGCAGCGTGGCCCGTGGGTGCCCAAACCTCCCTGCACATGTGCAACACGGTCTGTGCGTGCGCAAACCGCCCTGCACGAGAGCAACGGGCGCTGCACGAGTGCGAAGCGCCCAGCACGTGCGCAGCACCTCATGGGTGCGTGCAATGCACCCTGCACACATGCAGCACACCTCATGGGTGCGTGCAATGCACCCTGCACACATGCAGCACACCCCGTGGGTCGTGCAATGCACCCTGCACACGTGCAGCACACCTCATGGGTGCGTGCAATGCACCCTGCACACATGCAGCACACCCCGTGGGTCGTGCAATGACATGCAGCACACCCTGTGGGTGCGTGCAATGCACCCTGCACACATGCAGCACACCCCGTGGGTGCGTGCAATGCACCCTGCACACATGCAGCACACCCCGTGGGTGCACACAATGCACCCTGCACACATGCAGCCGATGCTGCACGTGGGCAGCACGCCCTGCCCGTGTGTAACACACGCCACACACGTGCAAAACGCCCCGTGGACATGCAACACGCTCCATGCAAGCGCAGAACACCCTGCATGTCTGCAGCACGCCCTGGTTGTGTGCAACACATCCCACGCGCATGCCAAGCACTGCAGCATGGCCTGGGGGAGCGCAACACGCTCCACACGTGTGCAAAACACCCTGCACAGGTGCAAAACATCCTGCACGGGTGCAACACATCCTGCGCGTGCAGCCCCAGCAGAGCCCCCCGTGCCTCCCTGTAGCCCTGGACCATTACACAGCACGAGGACACGGCACCGTGAGCAGTAAACCAGGGCTCAGGCACCAGCTCAAGGTACATACAGAGCATCCGGGTCTCTCCACCTCTCCTGGAGGCGCCGGGACTTTCCCAAGCCGGTGCTGGGCGAGCTCAGCCCCGGTGGGGCGACCTTCTTGCCGCATCCCCGCCGCCGGAGGCCGGTCACACGCAGCCGCACTCCTTGGCCGACAGCTCATTCACGGTGTAGTAGCGGTTGTAGGCGTCCAGGAAGGAGACGTCGTCGTCGTAGGCCAGGGGCCGGCAGCAGGGCCGGGCTCGCACCTTCTCCTTGCGGATGCGGCGGCTGCTCCGCATGCTGCGCAGCGACAGGTCGTAGCTGCGCAGGGCGCCGTCGTTGGTGCCGCTGCAGTAGCGGAAAAGCACAGTCTCGTCCGACTCGTAGCCCACCCTGGCCCCGCTCCGCCGCTCCACCAGCGCGCCCAGGAGCCGCCGCAGCTCGCCCTCCGTGTAGCTCTCCAGCAAGGCGCCGTCTGCAAGAGGAAGGGGCCGCCGTGAAGCCCACGCGCTGCGCGCTGAACCCGCTCACCCCCGACAAGCCTCTTATTTGCCGTTTTTTTTTAATGCTTTTTCATCGCCAAGCGCCGGGTACTTGGTTTGCGGCTGCTCAGGGATGCAGCTCTGTCATGCGGCTCTGCAAACGGGACGCCCCAAAAACAGTGCCAAACTTGGCACTGCACTGCAAAGCGTGCCTGCAGGGTTGCAAAGACAGTGCAAGGAGGAGCAAAGCATGCCTGCAGGGTTGCAAGATGGAGCCAAGCATGCTCACAGGCTTGATAACAGAGCTGGCGTACAGCAGTTAAGCATGTCCATGGGGTTGTAAAAAAGGTGCAAGGAGAAGCAAAGCGAGCCCATGGGGCTGCAATGCAGGGTGAGCAGCAGCAAAGCATGTGCATGAGGTTACAAAGCTAGGGCAGGATGGAGCAAAGCACATCCGGGGGTTGCAAAGTGCTGCGAGGAGCAGTGCAGTGTGTGCATGGGGCTGCAAAGCCAGCGCAAGGAGGAGCAAAGCATGCAGATGGGGTTGCACGCCGGGGAAGGAGCAGCCTGAGGGAGTTGCAAAACTTCATGGCTACCCACGAGCAGGAGCTGCACTGCTCTCATCCCCAGATAAAATTTCCTGATACTTTTCCAGCGTACATCGCATGTGGCCATGGGCATTACCTGGGCACCTCAGGACCCACAAAGCTGGTGTGCAATTGAGCCCTGCACCACAAGAACATCTCCTTGCCCTCCCTGCCTTATTTTCTGCCCCTTGGCCCTCAGCAGATCCTCCCTGCCGGAGCCTCCTGTGACAGTTTGTCATCGCTTCCAAAATCTCAGCCCCAAAGCAGCTCCTCGGGTTCAGGAGGGAAGCAAAGACGTGTGGCAGGCGCTGCAATCCGCAAGTGCCGAGGGAGGCACCAATCCCCCAGCACCCCGCTCCTGCCTGACGTTCTGGCCGCTCCAAATAAACACCAAGAGTCAAAAATAAAGTTAATAAAAAAGTGCTTGGAGCTAAAAAGCGCTTTGGGCTTGCAGGAGCCTTTGGCATGGGAAGCCTTTTGCCCTGCGTGGGGTTTTGCCCAGAGGAACCTTGTTTGCAACATGCAGGATCCTTTGCAAGATGCGGGATCCTTTGCAAGATGCAAGATCCTTTGAAGGATGCAGGATGCTTTGCAGGATGCATCCTGGTCCAGAGCTCTGCAAACCCTCACCGAGGCGCAAAGCCACCCAAATCCTCCTCCGTGCACTGTGCTGGACCCTGTGGCCAGCCTGAATGCTGGAAACCAAGTGCGAGCAAGACATCACCCCCGGGCTGAAGCCCTGGGGGCTGCAGCCGCCCAGCACGAGCCGCAACCGAAATCCATGGGGTGCAGGATGGAGCCCTCCCGTGCCGGGGACCGGAGCGCGGGGGCCGCTTACACTGGGAGAGCAGCGAGCCGTGGCGGTCCAGGGCCCGTGGGGGTCTCCGCGGAGCTGCCGGCAGCGAGGAGGAGGAGGATGCCCGCGAGGCCGGCGAGGAAGGCACGGGGCTGTATTTCCGGCTCCCGTTGAGCATGTCTCTACAAACTAAAATGGATAACAGGGAACTGAGGAGCATCGATGCAATGGCTGCAAACTTCCATACCTTCATCTTAGAGCAAGTCAGAACATTGAAACTCTGTAAAACAGGCAAAACAAATATCCTTATTATGCGGCCGCCCCCCCACCCCGCAGCGCCGCCGTCCCTC